AAGATAAGATAAGATAAGATAAGATAAGATAAGATAAGATAAGATAAAATGCTTTATTGTCCACCAAGGTGGACATTTTCCTTTGGCTCTCCAACCATAAAATGAAACACATGCATATAAGCAAAATATCAACAGTTTGTGCATAAAATAAAACACTTTGCATACCATAGGTAGATGTTATCATTTGGTTTGGTTGAAAATGGTTATTGCACTCAGAATAAATGACTTCTTATAGATGTTCTTCGTTGCCAGAGGGACCCTATAACGCCTTCCTGAGCTCAGATGTTCAAACTGACGAAAAAGAGGTTGGATGCTATCTGCTAAAATATTCCTTGCCATCTTCCTTGTTCTTTCTACAAACAGTTGAGACAGAGCTTTTTGTGGTTTCCCCACTATTTTACCTGCCATTGAAACAATTCTTAAACGTTGTTTTTTTAGTCTACAGCTCAGATGACCATACCAGGCAGGAAGGTGAAAAGTTAAAACACTCTCAACAGTTGTCTTGTACACAAGCTCTAAACAGTTTGCTGACTAACACCAACACCATTGTTTTCTTAAAAGATAGTCTCTATGTGTGCGTTTCTTAAATACAGTATATACTCAGTTTTCATCAAAGTTGAGCTGACTGTCCAGGAATGACCCTAGGTATTTAAAATTTACCACAGTTTCAACAAGTTGGTCATGGAGTGAGACTGGCTTCACTTTAAGGTTTAGTTTAGGGCATATACTCGGTAATTCATTATTTTGTCTTGGCTACATTAAATAGCTTACACTGTTGATACCATGTCTCCAGGGCCTTTATGTAAGATAAATAAGAAGCTTCACCTGTGGGATTGTTTTCCGTTAGTAGGCCAGCCAGAGCCATGTCATTGATATATTTAATTAAAATGCAGCTCTGGTCATTAATCACAAATTCATTTGTAAAAAGAGAGACTAACACAGGAGAGAGAACACAACCTTGAGGGCAACCAGTGCTCAACATGAGCACATCAGAAATGTTACCACCAAAGACCCTCTGTGGACGACATGATAGGAAATCCCTGATCCAGAGACCTGAGTTAACATTAAGATCAATGAGCCTCTTTAAAAGAATATGAGCTCTCATTAAGTTAAAAGCAGAACTAAAATCTACAAACAAAGAATTTTGTTTTGCAGATTTTGTTCTTACAAAACAACAAAATTACTTCCTAAAAAAATTCTTATTTTGTTGATGAGTGTATTTTATGCTGTAAGCTGTACTCCCGTTTCAAATTTTCCTTTATTGCAGTACTTTTGTCACATAACTTTAATTGTGCACTGAAATGGGTTGTAACTAGTAAATAACAAAGAGAAAAATGTGCTGCAATCATTTTGGGAAAACCATTAGCCAAACAAAGAATGTTCTTCACTGGACTTTGTCAGGTGATTTTTGTGGATCTTTCTGCCGTCTATCTTTCTTGAGTGGCTTGTGCATTTCAGAGTTTTTGTAGAAATCTGTGGACAGAGAAAAAATATATATAAATCTAGAAAACAATATCCAGAGTGTTGTAGTCAGGGCCTGAGGAAGATCACTTCTGAACTAGAGACAGGCTCATGGTCGTGTACATCAAATGTTTTTGCTTATGAGTTAACTTTGAATACAAGTCGAAGCAGCCAGAGGCAGAATGATGGTTTGAACCATGTTCCTCCATGTTTTAGAAGCTATGGTTCCTCCTGCTCTCATGTGGATGTTATTCTGAGTTTGAGCTTGTTGATGTTACTTATTAATTCTCCATCTCTCAGTCCAGCTAAAATGTGTCAGACAAACAAGTCCTTTTCATATGGAGAACTTTTTACAGCTAACAGTATGTGACCTTAAAACTATGCTCATTGACTTTCATTATACACATTCCCAGGCACAAAACTGTCCTGGAATTGCAAGAGACAAAGAAATAGCATTATGTTGTTTTTTTTCCTAATCATCCATTCATTCATTTTATTTACCTTCTTCTTCTTTCCAATTCATGGGGAGCTGGTGCCCATCTCTAGCAGTCACAGTGTGGGGGACACCCTGGACAAGTCTCCAGTCCATCACAGGGACACATAGAGACAAAAGAGACAAACAATTTACATTTTCATGTAGAATTTAAAATAATGTACATTACTAAAATACTAAATTATAGTAATTTATCCATTCATCCATTAGCTTCTGCTTGTTCCGAAGTCAGGTCACGGGGTAAATTAATTTACAGTGACCAGTTAATCCAACAATCATGTTTTTGCGTTGTGGGAGGAAACCAAAATACCTGTAATGAACCCACTGAAACTCAAAATAAAACTGACAGGCTTATGGTGCTTTGCATTTAGTTTGTCTGTATTTGTGAAACTGCCAGTGTGCACTTATATTTATGAAAAAAAAAATTTTTTAACAAAGATATAGCCTGTTTTAAAATGATTGATAAAAAAATGCTAAACTATACATCTAATCTGCAGCAGAGAGTAAACCCAAGGAGTTTGAACTTGTGGTTCATTTCTTTAATAAAACCACCAAAAAGAAATGCAAAGGTAAACTGTCACACTCCTTCTCAACTCATATCTCAACTCATATCTTGGCAAATGCATATTTACATGGTAATGTGTATTTACTTTGTATATTTACCATAAGCCTTGTGACAGCTTATGGTAAATACACCACACTGGAACAGTAACATAATAATTATGTTATTCATCAGACTCTGAACTTAAGTTATAACCCTAATGTTTCCATCTGGCAGATGAAGCCTCATTATGTCACGTTCATATTCAGAGTTTTAGTTATGATAAAATCTAGCTCAAAATATTGAAAGTTGCAGCCTTTGTAAAGGACTGTCTGTGAAGGTTTTGAATAGTTTTGACAGCCTTTGGGACTTAAGAGATAGATCTATTGACACTTCTTTTGCGTCAGCTACCCGTCAGAGTTTGACTCATGGCTGTACAGTTTTACACTTCCATCCTAGAGGTGGGGCTAATGCTTTAACTTGTCAAGAATTTATTTAAGGATAAATTAATTCAACTCCATGTTTCGGTCATGTCTGGAGAAGATTTTTGCAAATGTAGACTGTAAAAAGTAATTTGTGCACCATCTTCTTCTTGTTTCACTTTTCTGCTTGGGAAAAACTTGTCTTTATTGCCTGTTGTATTGTTGACCCTGTCCCAAAGTGAAGAGGGGATAATGGAAATACCCCCAGTTCATTTGTCTGTGCATGTTGTGAGCTGGAAAACTTCAGTAATGTGAGCTACTGACTTCCATTTTGGTGTGTGGCTACATCTAGGAGTAAGAAATGTTCCTTTTGAAAATTAGGTCACTATGTCAAAATACAAGATGGTTGCTGCTATATACGTATATATGTAAAAATTGTGAGCTGGATAAATTAAAAAATAAGCAATGTGCTGACTGTCATTTTGATGTGTGGCTGCATCTACGGGTAAAAATTGAGTTGCCACATCAAAATCCAAGATGGCCACCACCATATATGTAAACAGGTCACCTCTATCATTGATGAAACTATGATTTCTAGTCTTTATATTGCTTAAAAGTATAGCTTCCTCAAATAATTGGATGGCCAAAGGCCAAGGCCACCCTCTCTACTTACCAGGAACCGTCACTCTGTGCTGCATCAGAAAAGCCAAAAAAGGAAAAAAGAAAAAAAAAATCTTCCTCTTCTTTTATACAGTGTAACTCTTACCCACTTGAATATTTTGCACCAAAACTTTGTTTACTTTCATTCCTTGTTCAATTACAACCCAAAAACCACTAATTTCTAATGAAAACTAGAAAAATTCACTATCAAAATTCCTCAAAGACGCCATATTGCTTGTTGTCACCATTTTTTGAATGCCAGTTTTTATCATGTGTCCTTACCACTTCCCACAACCTGCATGATCACAAATAATCAGGCACATGCTTGACCAGGAAGGAACATGGCAGATCTTTGCAGACTGATCCAGATTACAAAAAATAAAGGATGTGAGTCATCATGTCTGATACAAACTGTATCACACAGGCATCATGGTCAGGTGGACAGTAGAGCACAGGCTGTGCATAAGTGCCTACTTACTTTGAAATAAAACCTTTAAAGTGGGACTTTGTTGCATAACGTTATCTTTCCAACTTACGCCATGTTCAAATGATCCAAAATGTAAATCAGAAAACAACTGAATTACTAAAAAAGTTTATGCTTTTTTTAGCTAAAAAAGCAGAAATTAGCAGAAAGAAGTTAATTAGGCTGAAAGTAGAATATATTACCATGACAATTTGAATTTATCCGAAAAATGCTGAAATTAGTTAAAAAACGCTTTTAAAAAAGGTAGCTGAAAAGGTAGAACAAGCATAAATTAGCAGAAAAAAGCAGAAAGAAGACATATTTGCCCAATTAGGCTGAAAGAAGCAGAAATGCGCACAAAGAAAATTATCAGGGGGGAAAAAAAAGCTGAAAGTAGCTAAAAAAGCAGAAAGAAGATTAATTAGTAGAAGGAAGAGGAGAGAGCACATTACTGAATTAGACTTAAAAAAAATAAATGAGTGTAAAAAAAAAATGTGGAATTTGCTGAAAAGGTTCAAAGTAGCATAAAATTGCTAAATATCAGCAGAAATAGCATAAAAAGCTGAAACTTGCAGAAATACGCTGAAAGGAGCTTATAAAATTAGCAGGTATAAGTTAGAAGAAGCACAAAATGTTGTAGTTAGCAGGAAAAAAAATCTGAAAGGAGCACAAAACACCTGAAATAACAGCTGAAATTAGCTGAAAGTATCGGAAAAAAAAGTTTAAATTTGCATTAACAAGCTGAAAGAAGCAGAAGCAGAACAAAATGTGCAAAAATGTGTGAAAGGAGCAGTAAAAGTTTGTAAATAGATCTAAAGATTTGAAGGATATAAAATGAGCTCAATTCACTTTCTATCAGAACAAATGGCAGAAAAGGCGAAATATTTCAAAAAGCTAAAGTTGCACCTATACCAAAAGTCAGCAGGATTGTCCTGAAACAGTTGAACATTTTGATTTATGATTTGTTGAAACAGCTTTAAAACTACAGGATGAGAAACACGTCAAAAAACATACAGAAAGAAAAATGGACAACAATAGTTTGAATGCTTCATAAACATTTACACAATATTTCTGATCAGTGTCACTGGTCTAATCCAGGATTAGTCAGATTTACAGTTAGAGACCAAGAAAGACTTGCATATGCTAATTCAAATATGATGCTAACTCTGAACTCAAGTGCTACATTTGAAAATGTGTCAGAAGATGACCGACCTCCTCCGATAACCTCAATGTTCTGACTATAAAGCTGGATTCTTTACAACCTGTCTGGCTGTTATCTTTCCAGCCGTGTCCTATTTTGTTGTTGCAATACTTCTCACCTTAGGGACACTAAAAATGATGGAAGTGCCTGTTGTTTTACCCTAACTAAGCTGTAAATATCCTGCACTTTTACATGCTTGAAATGCACTGGTTGAGCTTTGGCATGGTGCCTCTGGAGCAGTTTTCCTCAAGAATTCTGTTGGACATGATGCAGTCTGACAGGGAGTGTCTCTACAGCAGCACCCTTGCCCAGACCAATCATCGTGGAGCTGTAATAGTCTCCATCTGTAATCTCTTGACTAGCCATTCTTATATGGCAGAGATTGATTCTGCTTACAAAGGAATCTCTGCGGCTGTATAGTGAGTTTGGCCTCTAGCTCTCGGAGCTGCAGTGTGTGGTCAGTTGAGTCTGGTGAAACCCATTATTCTACTGTTCAGAGGCTACAGAGGAGAATGGTGTATCCCCTCAAGCACTGAGCCCAGCAACATCTTTACCCTTCTTTTTGCAATTTTGCACAATCTGGGTGAAGGAGTCATTATTATTTGTCTGCTGACTAATTAGCTCTTTGTTGTCGCTGGTATGACTATCAGCTGTCATAATGGCGAAAAGAAAATGATTTAGATTTGCCTCTTGCTTCAAGGATTCAAGGTTTTTTATTTGTCATACGCATCACATGCGGTACATGTGGTGGAACAAAATTGTGTACACAGAGTCCCAGTTACATCCAACAAAAGTATAAAATGTAAAAGAAAAACAGTAATAAGAGCTAAGACATGAACAAAGAAAATGTTAACTAGAAATCCACTAAGCACTAGTAGTACAAAAACAATACAAATACAATACAAAACAGCAGCACGAACATGAGTCTGTGTGAGAAGTGGAGTATGAAAGAATAGATCAGCGTCAGGGTAGAAGCTGTTCCTCAGTCTAGTGGTTCTACAATTAATGCTCCTTAACCTACTTCCTGAGGAGAGCAAAGCAAAAAGTTTGTGTGCTGGGTGAGTGGGGTCCTTCATGATGCAGGTGGCCCTATTCCTGCATCTGGAGGTGTAGATGTCTGTGATGGCGTGGCTCCTTAGAATTCAAAATGTTGTTAAGAGACAAAATCTGTATTTATCAAAGCAGCCTGGTGAGATCAGAAGGTTGTTACCTCTGTCTGCATTTCAAGCCTGTCACCTCCTTCTGTGGCCTCTCGTGGTCCTGCCGTGACTTGGCTCCGTTTGATTCCGTTGTGGTCAACAGAGAGCAGCTCATTAATCTTAGCTGCACTCTGTCCCACTTCTCTCCATAATCTTCCTTCTCCTAATTTCCCTTATCGGTCACACTGACTTTCTTTTGTTTGTGTTTGGAAGGCTTACTCTAGGCTGTTAGCCAAAGGGTGCTGACAGAGTGCAGAGCGGACTGCGGCAGCTTCTCTCCATCCGTCATGAAGCCAGGGGTGGTTTATCATGCCAGGTTTTGTTTTTTGTTTTTTTCTTCCAGCAACTGCTCATTCATTTGCAGGCAATAGATTGTGCTGAGAGTATTGATAGGGAAGCTAATGTTTTTAAGTGCAAGATTACACCACATTTAATAATGATGTTACTTACTGCTGCTGGCTCTGCAAACTGTCATTTGTCATGCACCCTTCCGCTGTTTGTTCAATCCTTGCATGGCATTTCCTTCCTCCTCGCTAATTTTATCCTGTTTCAGTCTAATCTCTTTATTGCAACTGAATCGTAGTGTTGCCTGGTAAACGTCAACAAGGCAGGCTCATCTATTTCATCAGCCCTCCAATGTCTTTGAAACTATCAGCTGCTGTCAGGAGTAGTCCCAAGGCAATCAGTGTTGTCCCATTAAACTCCCAGTGCTCAAATTAAAACATCAAAAACACGTTTCTGGTTTTGTGAAGGGAGTTTAGGAAAATTTATGTTCCCTATTTTCAAAACTATCCTTGTCAGGATAAACCCACGTGAGTCAACTGTACAGGCTGCGCGCAGCTGAGCGTTTCACCTTTTTAAGCTCCCGTCAAATTTCACTGCAATCTCTTCTGACTCATCAGATCTTGAGAACTTCAGAACCCAATCAGTGAGGAGTGCCGTCAACGTCCGCGAGGGTCAAGGAGTGGTTCTGCTCTGTGGAGCGCCTCCACATTCTGGAGGTAAGCTTTGCTAAATCAAACCTTTGTTTTCATCTTTTTGTTTCATAAAAGACAAACGCTGGATAGAAAATACTTCAGTTTGCTGTAATTGATAGCAAACGACTCCCTGACAAGATTTATATGTTGCATTTGCAGAACTCTAATTATTTATCTATTACTGATTCAACAAAATACGTGTCAACCTTTTACAGCTCAGAGTGTTACAGATAAATCTTATTACATCCTCTCGTTTGCTTAATTTGAGTTTTAGATAGGGAAACTGATACTCTCTTATCTTGTCGACTGTGAATATGAAGCTGCAGAAAGCAGGCACTTGTCTTACCTTCGCACAGAGACTGGGAACAAAAGGACAGGTATCAAGGCACTGTTGAAAGGTGACAGATCCTCTCCAAACCCAGCACTGCCAGCTAATTAACACCGTTCATTGATTATTTTATTCAGTAGAAAACTGTGTGGTTCTAAATGGATGGGGGTATGTTCTGGAATCGTAAAACACTTTGCAAACAACAAAAAACCTGCCCCCGTCCTAAACTCAAGGTTTGCACAAGTCTTAATTAACAAGGTTCAGCAAAGCTTGTTCGCACCGTAGCTGTTGCTGCACTGTTTCCAATCTGTATGCTAACGACCACAGAGCTGTTGGCTGTAGCCTGATATTTCAGCACCAAATACTCTAAAAACAAGCTTTAATTGTTCAAGTCAGGAGCTGAGACTGCTCTATAAATGAGAGGCTACAAATAGAAGATTAAGTTGCAGTCTGCATGGCCCCACCACTCTGCATATCTACAGAATGCGGAGGACATTCACAATGGCTGCTGCCTAGCTTGTCACCCTCTTGATACAATAGCTTGCACATTGGAGCAAGCAATTTCTTTCACAAGAGAACAGTTTGTCGGCGTGCATTGTACAGCTGGTCTTTGGGATAATTGGTCAAAGGAGTCTGTGTGAAATACAGTTTGACAGCTTCCCTCTCTGACACGGTTTTATACGAAGGGTGCTGTAACTGTAGTTCTTTGTGTTTCACCACATTCTCAAAAGTGACTGAGAGTAAAGCAGTGTGAACCTTCTATACCTTTATTCCTGCTTCACCTTGTTGCTTCTTTACCAACTCGTACTCTTCCTTTTCTGCCTTTTTTTCCACCACTTTCCTTCCTTGAATTTCAAAGCTCTGATGTGCCTTATAACCTTCCACTCCACTGAACTATATCAGACACAGACAGTATAAAATTTTTTTTTTATTATACCAAATGGGTCTAGAATTCAGCATAAGCTTTCTTCACTGCAACCCCTGGTAATCAGACCACGCAGGTATGGAAAATGAAATGCAACACAAGTAATTGTTATTGTATTGCTTCTGTATGCCAGCCTTTTTTGTTGTTTTGCTTTATTTAAAAGTCCATTTTAAACACATTTGTTTTGCATAAAAGGACTTGTATTGCATTTAACTCAGCACTTGATACAGAATTGCTTTTCAAAGTGCTATCACCGTCTATTACAACCACATAGTTCAGTGCGGGGGTATGCTGACTCAGAGTGACGTGGTTCCTGCTGCCTAATCGGAAGGAGCTTTGTATCTGCATCGCTACACTCAGACTGGACCATTCAGCTCCATCTGGAGCCAAGTGCACCCCCCCCCCCCCCCCCCGCTCAAGTGGTGCTAGACATGATTGACAGCCATTGCATATACCTTTTGACTCAGACCCTCCCTCCCCATTCCACCTTCTCCAAAAAATATAAAATAAAAAGATTACACGGAGCATCTCTTTTTCTTCTAGAAGTATTTGCAGCATGCAGTTCTTGAAGACGACATTATAATTCAGCTTGACAGGTCTTCCTTTTCTTATAGACCTGTCGTTTGTGAGAAGAAATGACAATGTAAATTTGTGTCTGAACTTGGATCCCTCAATCCGTTTGTTTGTTATGACGCCGTCAAACTAAGTCGCTCAGGGACCCGAGGAATGGAGGCCAGGTGTCAAGGGAGCACCACTGGAGCACTGTAATCCAGTTTGTTTCGCTCCCTTTCCCCTGGCCTCCTATTATTCTGCACTGATAGCCGTTACTTTCTTGCTATCTTCGCCTAAGAAAACCTGGACGAAGAGATAAAACATAACTTACATGGAGTGGGGTTCTTTTGATTCAGCCACCCCATCCATGGACTCAAGGCCCATCTAAAATGGATCACCGCAGTGGTAACTCAACTGTTTTCCTTTTCGTTCTAGAGTTGACATTTGCATGGATGTTCAATGAATATCCATACTCCGTCCAGCAAGACAGTCGAAGGTTTATCTCTCAGGAGACTGGGAGTCTGTACATTGCCAAAGTGGAGCCATCGGATGTGGGAAACTATACATGCATGGTTAACAACACGGTCACAAAGGAGAAAGTTCTCAGCTCTCCAACACCACTGGTCCTCAGGAGTGACGGTAAAAAAAAACAAATACTCCTCATGTTGACTTTTATTTGACTTTATTTTTAAGTGTACTATATATTCATTTTTTTCCCCATTGATAGACCTTTTCTGCCCATCACTATTGCATCTTTATACAATGAAATCAAATAAGACATGAGAGCAGCATGCCATCATTATGTGTTTTAACTTAAATGATACAGAAAGTAAAATAAGAAAAGTGTTGTTTTAAAGTAACAATAACTACCCTATCATATTCAGTGCTGATAATTGTATTTGCATTTGCCACCTTCAAATATTAAATACAAACTAGGTAAGAATAATTGGTTTTATTCTGGCCAAATGGAAAGAGCATTAGCTTACAGTGATAAACCTGCTGCTTCAGCACAAGCAGAATTTATACTGTAGGCTTATATGATTACACTGCTGGTCTTTGTTCATGTTGAGTTTTATGTCAAATTGGGACTCTTTTGAATACATTGTTATTCCCTTCTAAAATAGGATCTCAATGTATTTAAAAATGTTCTTTTTATCTTTTATATGCTTAAAGCACATTTGCTGTACCCCCAGATCTACAAGTGCATGTTCTGAAGCGCAACTGAGCTGGGACTTTTACTTAAATAAAAAAAATTCCAGTTCAGCAATGTTAAAAATACCTTGTTATGAAAAATACTATAAAAAATGTTGTTTTGACCCTTGTTGATATATTAAGCATGACAGAGGTAAATCGGTCGTAGGAATGATTCAGGGTGTAGCAGCATGTTGTAGTCATAGCTGCAACAAAAAGAGCTGCTTTGAAACTACAGTCACTCATAAATCCTGGGAGTTTGATCCAAAATAACAGAAGATGAAGGAAACAAAACTGAGCTGGAATGGACTCAAATGCATATTTAACTTTACTGAATTAAAATCAACAGACACCATAAAACATCTAAATTATGACTCCAGCTACACACAGCTCTTTGTTAGAAATCATAATTTGTAAATGTATTTTTTAATAACTTTGTTATATTATTAATGTTTGTTAAATTTTTTGCGTGAAAGTCCACCACCCCCCTCCCCCCACATACATACACAAAGTAGTGACTTACATTAGCAGTGTCAAGTGAAAACACAAGTTTAAAATTAAAAATCCTCACTGCGGCTGGTGTTTGCATTCTTTTACCATGTTTAGTAATGATATATGACAGTTTGTAGGCAATGCAGGCATTGACGACCTAGAAAATGAGAAATCGATGCTTGATTCTTAATGGATTTCACACACTTACACCAACTGAACAAATCTATTGGTTTGATTGGTGTCCCACTCTCCGCATTAAAATTTAACGAGTAATTCCCATCCAATTATTGCAGATTAACACTAACTTTGCATTAATGCTGCAGTAATACACGACCACATATTTCAGGGTCTGTGATGCTTTTAATCTAAAAGCATGCACCGGACACCAAAGCAGCTTTTGCTCCCAGGCACTGGGAATGTAATTGTAATGGTAAAGGGCATGCTGTACTATTTGCCATAAAGTCCATGACCCATCTCAGTGACGTGAATATAAATAAAGTCATAAATGAAGTTACATTCATAAATTTTTAGGAGCGATAGATCTCCACTAGTTTAATCTATTCCTTGATGTGTTCTCTGAATCTTTTATAACCTACCTCTCATTTCTCTCCTTCTTTATAAGCCCTTTAGTGGTCACTTTTGCTCTGTGCTCATTAAGACTTTTGTGTTATCTGTCTGAGCGTATTATTGCCTCGGATCTAACCCGAGTGGGATGTCTGCTGTTTATCACTCACACAAAAAGCTTGATGTCTATTGTCACCCTTCTCTAGGAGTAATGGGTGAATATGAGCCAAAGATAGAAGTTCATTTTCCTGATGCCGTCCCAGCTGCAAAAGAATCAGTGGTGAAACTGGAATGTTTCGCTCTGGGAAAGTAAGTAAACCTTAGGGTCTATGACATGACTTGGGGCAGCTGTGGCTGAGTGGTTAGAGCAGTTGTCCTCCAATGGGAGAGTTGGGGGTTCAATTACACCAGCAGTCACATGTTGAAGTGCCCCTGCGTAAAACACTGAACCCCCCAGTGCCTCTGATGTGTGTCCCATCGGTGTATGAAGGTGATAAAGAACTGATTAGTCTACAGATTCAGATTATCTTTGTAGAGAGATGTGGTAGAATGATGTATGAATGTGTGTGTGGAGGTTTGATTGTGTTGTATAGTGCGTTGAGTATCTTGATTAGATAGCAAGGCGTTACATACCGGTAAATGGTAAAAGGACTGTACTTATATTATATAGTACCTTTGTACTTTAGCAAGATACTCAAAGCTCTTTACATGTACCCATTCATACAGCACTCTACTATATCTGTACAAAGACGAATCATTGCTTTTAGATCACATTCTTACACTGATGGGACACACATCTGAGGCAATGAGGGGTTTAGTGTCTTAACCAGGGACACTTCAGCATGTGACTGCTGGTGGAATCGAACCCCCAACTCTCCCATTGGAGGACGACTCCTGTAACCTCTCATCCACAGCTGCCCCACTTATTCAGTCCATTGAGCTATAGGTTAATTCATGTATTGATGAGAGATATTTAGGCTGCTTTAACTGCATGTAAGCACAACATAAATCATTCTCAATGCATGTGAAATGTGAGCGATCCCAGTTTGATTCGTAGGAAACAATATCTCACGAGTCCCAACTATCTTCCTGCTGCATTTAATTACACTTTGATCACAGGGGCTGACAGATGAAATCCCTTTGTTCCTTTTCTTGTAGCCCTGTCCCAGAAATAAGCTGGAGGAGAACCAGCGGGGTCCCGTTCCCCAGCAAAGTCAAAATGAAGAATTCCAACGCTGTCCTTGAAATTCCCAATTTTCAACAAGAAGATGCAGGGACATATGAGTGCGTAGCAGAGAATCGGCGGGGCAAGAATGTGGCACGGGGTCGTATTTCTTTCCATGGTAAGTGAGAAATTTTAAATTAAGGGACAATGACAGCAGAACTGCACAGACTGCTACAGGTACCAGGTGACCAGAAATGTAAATTCCTTTTCCTCATCTTTGTGTGGGGATAATGTTTTTAAGGCAAGTTTAACAAAGAGCTTTGAAACTTAAAACGTAAATTTGTTAAACTTGGGACTGAATTGTAATAAATAAAAGCAAATTATTAGCTGAATGTGGATAGAACTGATTAATAATTGCCCCAAACTGGACAATATTAATAATAATTTATATTTTATACCTCATCCAATTTATCAGAATTGTACTCTGAGATTACTTTTATTCTGATTTGGTGCATTATAATTAAACAAAATTGAAACAGAACTTGTTTGTATCAATTTTATAGTTTTTCTATAGATTTAAGATTATGTCGGTTGATTTTAGGGAGAATCTGTATAAATCTGTATTTCTCATTCTTCTGGTAACCTATGTGTTTATTTATTTATGACACTTTTAATTTTAATATGGTTTTGTTCTAAGCCAAACCTCAGTGGCTCCAGACGATGGCAGACAATGCTCTGTCCATAGAGGAACATCTTTTCTGGGAGTGTAAGGCCAATGGGAAACCCAAACCATCCTACAGCTGGCTGAAGAATGGGGAGCAACTCATGGCAGAGGTATGAGGGTTTGTCTGATTGTCTTGTGAATAGTCTAAAAAGAAAATAAAAACAGTGCTGGCAGCCAAAGCGAAACTTTAGCTGGAAGTACTCACTCTCTCTAGTTTGATGTAGTTTAATGTAACTATTACTTCATTATTTAGAATAAAAACAGATTTTGTTTTCTGAACTAGAAGGTACTGGTAGATGTGATTTTGAGTTTTGACATGATCTTAGCTTGCTGCTTGCTTAACTACATTTTATGTAGTTAAGGGGCAGTGGTGGTGCAGAGGTTAGAGAAGGTGGGCCTATGAGCGGAAGGTTGCCGGCTCAACTCCCGATACCAACAACGTCAAAATATGGGTGGGAAAGGTGAAACGCCCACACCTGCCTCCACCCTCCTTTGCCCCACTCTGCCCCTAACCCCCAGCATCTTCTCCCCCAGGTGCCATAGATGGCAGCTCTCTCCTCCACACAGAGGGCTGTGGTAGCTCGGTGGTCTGTGGTTGTGTCAGGAAGGACATCTGGTGTAAAAATAAAAAATAAAAATAAAAAAACAAGTCTTGGAGTGAGTTAATTTGCTGTGGCAACCCCTGAGGGAGGGAGCAACTGAAAGACAAATAAATTAGTTTTTATGTATTTAACAATATGTTTAGTTTCCTGCATAAGTTTTTCAGTCTTCATGGTTGTGCAGAAATGTTGGTCCCCAGCTCTCTTAATATCCCAGTACAGCACTTTAATCCAGTTGAGGTCTGGACTTTGACTGATGTAGATCTCTCACTGTGTTTGAGGTTGTTTTGTTTCTTGGATCGGTTCCAGCCTAGCTTCACCTGTCAGGCAAGAGGTCACATTTTACTCCAAAATACTTTGGTCCACAAAAGAGTTCTTCATCAAATCAATGACTGCAAGGTGTCCAGGTCCTAAGGCTGCACTAAGCTGGACATTTCTTATGAGATGTTTTTGCTGCATGCTGTCTAATTTTTGCAAAGACATTTCTGTGTGTTATGGCAGAAAACATAGTTTTGTCTCATCTGTCCAAAAAGCATTGTTCCAAAAGTCTGGTGGTTCATTCAAATGCAGCTTTGCAAACGAAGTTGTGTCGCCATGTTTATTTTTAGAGAAAATGGATTTCTCCTGGCAACCCGTTAAACTGACAGAAACTTTTAAGGTGCTTAAAGAGGACAAAAAGGCAAAGCTGTGCTCTGGAACCTATTCATTTGTATTGCATGTCCTGTACAAAATCAGTTTTATACTGTGCTGAGCAGAGCAGCTCTTCAGTCCCAAGCTCAGTGTGCACGGCAGAGCTTCAGTTTGTTTGTGCATTGTGACAAACACTAGTGCAGCCAATAAACACATCAAATCACCGGGTTGAAAAAAAAGTAACAAGTCACTGTGAAAATGGAGCTCTTTCACCAGCCTGAATTCTCCCCGAGTTGTCTTTCTAGATCTCAAGTGTGTCACACGCACACATGCACACACACACACTTTCACTACTTCTTCAACTCTTCTCTCAAGAAGAAACAATGCAAGAACTCCTCAGCACTTTGCTGTAGAACACTGGGCTCACCTTCCTTCACTTTTAGTTTTTAAAACCCTGTTAAATTTGCTGTGCTAACTGAGACCTGCAGAGTTGGTGAAGGAGTTATTTTGTTTTTCCTGAGTGTCACAGGTCTGACAGACTGAATTTACTGGGACAGAAACTTCTGGGATGACTGTCAAATTATTTCATGTTTTCCACTTGTGAATATTTTATATTGCTGTAATATAATGGACCTTAAATTGTTTGTATGGTAAATGGCCTTGTAACAAATCCAAGTTTAATATGCTGCAACCATTGCTTTACTAAGGCCGTTGGTGCTGTCTTTCCATCTTGACATTGTGTTGGCACACTTACTGTACGTGTTCTCTTTTTACAGAGGTGCTCACAGTTTCTAATGACTGGTTAATCGGGTGTATTTGAGTAAAGAACTGGCTGCTACTTCCCATCTTAGATCCCGAGGAAGCAGAAAATATGATGTTAGTTATTCACACACAACTTTTCCATTTTGGCTTTGTTTTTCATACACAATGACATGGTGGAATCTGTTTAAAGTAGTGTACAGATCGTTATATAATGTTTTGATATGTAAAACCCTAAAATTGAAAAAGTGTGGATTTTTGTTTTCTCATCACTGTACATCTCAGGGCACTGCACAAAATAAAAATAAAAAAATACATTCTGTACATTATTTGAATAAAAATAAAAAGTTGTTCCTTTCCACTGTCACCAACGTGTAGCTCAGGATGAGGGATTGTAAAGAAGTGAAGATTTAAGACTATCTACTGATTCCTTAGAGCTCCGATTCCCAAACTTTTAATTTAAAAAAAATATTTTTTTATTGATCTGCAAAACAACAGAGGCTTGTGACCACAAATTATATCAGCTTCATTTAAAAAAACTTGTAAATATTAGTATTAAATAAAGGCCAAGTAACAACACAAATAGTTGTAACAATTATGATATTATTTCTTTATTGACTTTTTTAATATCATATTTATTTTTTGTAACTACAGTTGGTGAAAATAAGCCATTTTGAATCATTCTTTTCATATAGTTTGATAGCTAAAGATTATTTATTACCCTCATTAGGTCTTTTGAGACCCACATGGGGTTCAGAAAACTAATTTAAGAATTGCTGCCTTTGATAGACAACTTTTACTAATTGGTGTTTCATAATAAACTGTATAGGAATGTGTTGTAGTCAGGGCCAGCCCAAGCACTAAGCACAATTTGGTTTGGGGCCCTCTATTTGTTCTGATAATGTGGATTACTGCAATCAACAGTCAGATGATCAGATCATTTACCACCTAACATAAACTCACTGCAACTTTGACAGCCCTGTTTGGGGCCCCCAAAATTGTATTTTTTTGTATGTATGTACAGAGAATGATTTACATGATCACCCCCCTCCCACACACACACACACACACACACTTACATACATCTTTATATGAAATTGTGTGTAGGAGAATTAAAAAGGACAGGATTTAGTGTTCTCCAGGATATTAACTGGATTAGAGCGGCAAGGTATAAATGAAGTATTCCTGTTAAAGAACACGGAGACAGATATCCATCTTGGGGTGATTTATTTCCTGTGTTTCTGAAATAACAATACAAAAAAAAAAAACCCTATTAATTGACTTATTACTATAGGCAAGACAAACAGTGATAACTAAGGGGGCAAAGGATTATATTTAATAATAAAGCAATATAAAAATGGTTTTAAGCTCAAGCGTCCAACAAGCAACATAAAGCAATTTAAAGTACATTATACGTGTTATATAAAGTAAACAAGCATCTCACATGACACACTCGGAGAGCATTACTTGGCTTATTAGCTTTAACAGCACACTACATGCAACTTAACTTCTGCATGACTAAAATATACATTAACATGATGTTAACATCCAGACTAAACGATATAACATCAATAGGTTCACCTTCTGTCATCCACACACAGCAGGAAACAGGAAACCATCAACAGATGCTCAACAAACAAACCTCCATCCATGTTGGGAGAGAAAAAGACTTTACTGCACGCACAGCACTGCACTTTACACAGATCAGTGTGTCAGAACAACCACGGTGCATTCAATAACGTAGGAATCATGGTTTTCATCAAGAAAACAAGCTACAGTCAAACAGAACTTAGCTCAGCAAGCAAACTAACCACATATAAACAATGTGGGCTTTCTAACAAGATTCATATAAAAATCATTACTAAAAACAACAACAACAACAAAAATCAATTCCACTAAGGGGGCCGCCCAGTGGCCCCGGGGCCATAAGCAGCCGCTTATGCTGCTTATGCCTCAGGCCGGCCTTGGTTGTAGAACAAGAAGAACTTGAATGGACTGCAGTTGGATTTGCAACTGGATCAGAATTAGATTTATGATTTTGACTTTTTTTCATTTGTACAGTGCACTGAACATTAATGTAAGAATAAAAAATAAAATAAAAAATGTTTAGTTTGCGGCAGCACGGTGGCACAACTGGTAGAGCTGCTGCCTCTCAGCGAGCAGGTCCTTGGTTCAAACCCCGGTCCAGGGGCCTTTCTGGGTGGAGTTTGCATGTTCTCTCCGTGCATGCGTGGGTTTTCTCCGGGTACTCCGGTTTCCTCCCACAGACCAAAAACATGCATGTTAGGCTGATTAGTAACTCTAAATTGTCCCTAGGTGTGAGTGAGAGAGTGAATAGTTGTTTGTCTCTATGTGGCTCTGTGATGGACTTGCGACCCGTCCAGGGTGTACCCTGCCCCTCGCACAGCAATTGCTGGACATGGCACCAGCGACCCCCGTGACCCAAAATGGAATAAGCGGGTAAAGATAATGGATGGATGGATGGATGGATGCTTAGTTTGCTTTATTGGGTAAACACAACATATTTAGACTGAGTTTAACTAAATGTAGTAGGATAGTATCTGTACATAGCATACAATTAGGGAAGCATTGTTGTGTTCCCCTGCAGTGCTGATTATCCCTTTATTTTAGTTTATTTAATCAAAATTACCATCTTAGCTGTTGGTATAGTTTTTATGACAGAATGATGACAAAAACTAGAAATTACATTGTATCAGGAACTCAGTGTTTTGCCATTATTACTTAATTTCTGTGTCTAAGATGGAAGTGTACAGTTTCCAGCACTGCCTCCTGAGCTGAATATACATGCAGTGACACTATACGCTCTTGTTTTGTCCTTCCTTTCCTGTCCTCCCTTCATGGTGCACAAATAATAATAATTGCTGCTGTGCCTTTGGACATAATAGGCTGGCCTTGCAATGGATAAGTAGAATTGTTTCTCTTTACTCTGCAGGAGCGTGTACAAATCGAAAATGGAGCCCTTTCTATAACGGCGTTGAACTTGTCAGATTCTGGGATGTATCAGTGTGTGGCGGAAAACAAACATGGCACTGTTTATTCCAGCGCCCAGCTAATGGTGTTAGGTAAGATTGTCTCCCTCCTTCTGCTTTTATGCAGCTTATCTGTGTGAGCGTTTGATCATCTGCTAAGATAAAAAGCCGCCCGCTCTAATGTTCCTCAGAAATCAGCCTGCACATTCATTTGATGTCAACGTGGGCTCTGCCAGCAAGAATATGAATCTGATAGAGTGTCTCATTTTACTTTTAGTCATTTCATCTATCGATTTGGAAACTACAAACACGTTGCCTTGTGGCATTGTTCATGCTTTCTCATGTACACCCGGTATTGATTTATTTGCAAAGCTTTGATGACTGGCTCCATGAGAAATACAATTCTCTCTTGGTACATGTGATGACACTTGAGGGGTCTAATGATGGCTAGCTTAAATGTGATGATGAATGTGGATGCTGGCTGCTGACTGGCGATATGATGAGGCTGGATGTTCTGTGTGTATGTGTGTGTGTTTGCATGAAGCTGAAGGACAGGGTGACCACTGTGCTGTAGCCTTTAACCCTTTAGACCTTTATGCTTAGATTTCAAGCTTCTTCATATGAAAAGTCTATTTTTTTACCAACATTTTTTGTTGTCTCACATTTTTCTTTCTTGTACACAAAGCTTCACCTCCCAGTTTTTCCAGAAGTCCATTAAAGACCTTGGTAAAAGCTCTCTCAGGCAGCGAAGTCACTCTTGAATGCAAGCCTCAGGCCTCACCCCCAGCAATTAACCTGTGGAAGAAAGGGAATGAGATCCTGCAAAAAACTGAAAGGTAGGATAAGAATCTAAGCGCACATTCCCACAAACTTGTATTCACATTCAGTGCAAGCAGACGGTTTTCAGTGGTGTATTTGGCATTTGTGTGTATGCATAAAAGGAAAGACTAATGAGGAAAAAGAGGTTAGGGCACGTATCAGGAAAATTGCACAAACTGTATTTAATGTAGCATGAGCCTTCATATGGAAATTATTTGGTGTGAGATATGAAGATGCCAGGTGGTTGGATCCACACTGCATGTGTTAAATGCTTTAAAAAAACGGTTGGGAAATTAAATCACTGACAAAAGTAACGTTGATCCACTTGTAGTCACCGGGAAGTAATTAAAAAAGTAAAACTAAAGCTTTTGCACATGTAATTATCTGCTTTATGAGGTTTAAAATGAGACACAAGAGTGTGATTGATGAAACCTGGAAGGCTGCAGAAATGAAAGCCTGGAGAGCCGAAACGTCTCACAGGACTGAAACCTCTCCACACTGACATGATTCAGCCAATGAGCAGCATCAAGCAGCACTTTCACCCCAGAAAGTGGTGCTTAATTTATTTTGTTGCTCGTTGCCATCTGATTTCCCGTTGCGTGTGGGTTCACAGAAAAAGAAAGGACAAATTAAAGGTGGAGGACTTCAAAAACAAATCAGATACTCATTAGATTGGTCCGTCAACAGACATTCAGATTCTTCAGAGGAGAAAAGCTTACACAGTGACTAAACCTTGCTGCAGGACTGCACATGCTGACTGAATAAAAACAAGCCCAGCGCCGGCATCCCAGCGCACAGAAAAAAATGCTTTTGAATCACTCCCATGCTGCTCATTGTAAGGAGTTCTGAGAAAGAACAATGCGAGCAAAGCATCATGTCCAAACAGCATTGAGGCTCCAGATGGGAAGCTGCTTCTATAGCTGCAGATAATTGGTTGAATTTCCCAACTGACTGACATTTAACATAGTATGAGTGAAGCATTTGAAAATGCAGAAAGAAAGTGTTCAGATATACAGCATTGTTACAAATTGATGCAGTGTGAAAAGTATTTAATTAGCAGTGAAACACATGTAGACTTTGTGGGTTTTAAAATATAACTTATTTGAGTTTGACAAGCTTTTGGCTAGCTAAGATTGTCTAATGAATGTTACTGGTACCCTGTCCAGGGTAACTGTCCAGATGACCTGATTGAAAATTGTTGGATTGTATACCTGGATTATTGAGCATGGACTTTGTTGGTTAATACTGGTACATTCTTTTGGCAGAAAATGCTTGAATGGTGCCGTTATGTATTTTTCCAGCTGCTGAAACTCCTTTATACAATTTAATGTTAGACAGTAAAGTTAAAAATGGTAAAACCTCTGCAAATATTTAATTTAACTACAGTAGTCCCTTGCTACTTCATGGTTAATTTTTCGCAGACTCTATCACATTTTTTCAAAATACGATTGGACATGACACAAAATTGGCTGATTGATGGATGATCAGCAAGGAATTTTTATTTAAAATAAATTATTTTAAATTATTTAGCACCTGCTGCACAGCTGCACAAACGTCCTTCTGCAGCTTCTCCTCCCTCCTCCTTCCTCCTCTGTGATCGCCATTCTGCTGCTGAGAAGTGGGCGTGGCCGAGGGTGCAGGGTGCAGAGTGCAGCGGAGGCAGAGAGCTGAAATCATGACATGGTCTGCTCTTTTAGAGAGTTTAGAGTTTAAAACATTGTTTAGAATATTGCAAAAGTGTGGGAAGGGTTTAAAACACCTTATATGTTGTGATATACACACATATATATATATATATATATATATATATATATATGTGTGTGTGTGTGTGTGTTTATGCATGTATACGAAAATAAACTTCTACTTACTATTTATACTACTATCCCTACTTCGCGTTTTTTCACTTATCGTGGGGCTTCAG